TCCTCTTCCGCACCCTTCGATCCGGTGCCAAGTTGTAACGGCCAAGTCTTTTCAGGCCACGTGCTTACGAGCGGACCGACGAGATCGGCTTATGTTTTCTTAGGACCGTCGCAGCGGCCGAGTCTTCACCAACGGACTTGTCTTCGAAGACCCTCGTGGTGCGGTTGCTTGACGGGTTCGCCAACGTCTTCGAGTCTACTACCGGTTTGGTGTTGGATCGGTCGATCTCCCATAAGATCATTCTTAACGCCAGTGTCGTGCCACTGAAAGGATGCATTTATCGCATGAGCGAGGAAGAGCTCGCAGTTCTCCGCGCGCAACTTGATGACTGGTTGGACAAGGGCTGGATCCGCCGTAGTAGCGCACCCTACGGTGCGCCGGTTCTCTTCTTACGGAAGAAGAACAAGGATCTCCGCTTATGCATTAACTACCTCAAGCTGAACGTGCAAACCGTCAAGAATGCGCGGCCTCTTCCTTGTGTCGACGATCTTCTTGAGCGTTTGGGCGGCGCTAAATATTTTTCGAAGTTGGATTTGGAGTCGGGCTATCATCAAATTTCGAAACGCCCAAAAGTTCGCTACAAATCCGCGTTAAAAATGCGGTATAGGCATTCTGAGTGCGTTGTCGTGCCTTTTGGCCTCACCAATGCCCCAACGACCTTTCAAGTGGCGATGACCAACAAGTTCCGCGCAATGCTGGACCGGTTCGTGCTGGTCTACTTGGACGACATTTTCGTCTACAGTCAGACCTCAGAGGATCACCTTGAGCACCTTTGACGTGTGTTGGAGACGGTTCGTCGCGTCAAGTACAAGGTCCACCGAGACAAGTGCAAATTCGTACGTCAAGAGTTAGAATACTTGGGTCATTTTGTCACACCGAAGGGCATTAGTCCGTTATCGGACAAGATTCAAACCGTCCAAGAGTGGTCGAAGCCGAAGAACATCACAAATGTCTGTTCGTTTCTTGGCCTAGTCAGCTACTATCGACGCTTTATTAAAGGCTATTCCAAGATCGCGGCTAATTTGACCAAACTTCAATGCGAGGATTGGCCGTTCGACTTCGACGATGATGTGTGGGCTTCATTTTCGGCCCTTAAAGCCGCCTTGCTCTCCGTGGAGGTTTTACGAATCTACGCCGTCCTCGAGCAACACGATGGCGTGGACTGGAACCCGGTCGAGTACTTAAGTGAGAAGATGCCCGTCGTGCACTCGATTGAAAACACACGGAAGTAGGAGTTATTGACCTTCGTACACGTGCTTAAGCGGTGGTGACATTTCTTCGTGGTCGAAGTCAATTACAATGGGTAACGAACAATAATCCGTTGGTCTTCTACAAGACCCAAGACACAATGAATAGTACCATCGCCCGTTGGATGACTTTCATTGACCAGTTTAACTTCTTTCCGGATCACATTCCGGGAAAGTCAAACTGTTTTGCGAATGCCCTTTCACGGTGCCCAGATCTTTGTACCGCGGTCTACTTGACGTTCGAGGTTGACGACGACTTGCGGGACAGCTTCACCCGCGACTACCAAGTCGACCCCGAGTTTTGGGACAAGTACGCAAATTGCTCCTATCCAAATCCGGCGCCATTGGATTATCGGATCCAAGAAGGCTATTTGCTAGTCCACTCGCGGGGGAAGGATCTTCTTTGCGTGCCAAGTGACCCCTACTTGCGTACGTGGCTTCTTGGCGAGTTCCACGACACTCCCGCCATCGGACACTTTGGAGTCAATCGTACGATTGGCCGACTTCGCAAGCGTTTTTGGTGGCCCGACCTTCTCGATGACGTCACACGCTATTGTGAGTCATCCAAGGTTTGCCGGAGTTGCAAATCCCGCAATCATCGCCCGTTTGGCGAGTTGCGACCATTACCGGTCCCCCTAGGACGACGGAAATCGATTGCTATGGACATCACCGGGCTGTTCCCCAAGCACAAGACTGGTGTGGACGGGATTCTCACGGTGGTCGATCAACTCACCAACTTCGCCATATTTTTGCCTTGCTGCTATCACGCCAAGGCACCGGAGTTGGCTGAGGTTCTTTACACCAGTTGGATTCGTACCAAGGGTTACCCCAAGGAGACCGTTTGCAACCGCAACACTCAGTTCATGTCCGACTTTTGGTTGGCTCTCATCAAACGAAGGGGCTCATCTCTCAAGCCGAGTTTGGCTCGCCACCCACAAACCAATGGCCAAACGAAGAGGGCGCATCAAACCGCAAAGGTTAACGGAGACCCTAATTTTCAGACCACTTGCCATGCCATTTATATGAAAACCAAAGGGTCATTTTAATCAAACTTGCCACCAATTCGTAGAGTGGAGACCATACTAACTAACCGCAAAAAAAATCCAAAAAAAAATAATAATAAAAATTAAAAAAACATATAAAACAGCAAGGCAAAAGTGCATATTCATGAAGTTTCCCCAACATCCCAATTTCAAAAATCTTGAGAAAATTCAGAAATCTTAACTGAGGAAATTCCAATTCTCCAAATGACACAAAATTTGGCACACACCAACCTTGAACCAAAACAAGAACAGGCAAAAAAAAAAAAAAAAAAAAACATAAAATTTGACCCCGAAACCCTAATTTCAGTTTTGGACTCGTTACCCAGGACCTGAAAATGGGGGTCCCCGTTAACCATTTGTGTCTCATCCGTCCTGAGCAAAAGGACTGGGTTGAGCGGCTGTCGGACGTCGAGTTGGCTTACAACTCATCCATTCATCCGACTATCAGGATGTCGCCCTATCATCCCACGGACGACCGATGCAAGAGCGACCAGATGTCGAAAGACGCAGCAACGCATGAGCCGTGAGGCCAATCGTCAGCGTCTTTCTTGTCCGTTCAGCGCCGGGGACCTTGTTTGGGTCTCCGTCGTGGAATTCAGCGTCGAACAAGATATCTCTCGCAAGCTCCTTCCGAAGTGGATGGGGCCTTGGCGCATTGTGGCACCTGCTGGTGACGCACCCGAAGGACCATTATTTGTCATTCAGGTGCCCGCCCACTTGCCCGTCTACCCGGTCTTTCATTGTTCGAAGTTGGCACTTCTCGTTTCCGCAGATCTCGACGACTTTCCCGGGCGACGATCACAAGACCCACCCTCCATGGACGGTTTTCTGGAGGTTGGCAACATCATTTCGCAGCGGTGCTGCGGCACCAAGCCGATGAAGTACCTAGTACACTTTTCTTACTGTAGCCATAAGGTTGACCGTTGGTTGACCCGCGCGGAACTTCAAGCCACAGCCCCCGATGTCCTCGCACGTTACGAACGCAAACAGCAGGGCAAGCCGACACCTTCGCCTCCATGTTGTACTTGCGTCCAGGTTCCACCATCGGATCGTCAGCTTCGCCCTCCACCCGGATTGACTTCATAAGGAGGGGGGGTATTTGTCACTCAGGTGCCTGCCCACTTGCCCGTCTACCCGGTCTTTCATTGTTCGAAGTTGGCACTTTTCGTTTCGGTGGATTGCGACGACTTTCCCGGTCGACGATCGCAAGACCCACCCTCCATGGACGGTCTTCAGGAGGTTGGCGACATCATTTTGCAGCGGCGCTACGACGCCAAGCCGATGAAGTACCTAGTACACTTTTCTTATTGTAGCCATAAGGCTGACCGTTGGTTAACCCGTGCGGAACTTCAGGCCACAGCCCCCGATGTCCTCGCACGTTACGAACACAAACAGCAGGGCAAGCCGGCACCTTCGGCTCCATGCTGTACTCATGTCCAGGTTCCACCATCGGATCGTCAGCTTCGCCCTCCACCTGGCTTGACTTCATAAGGAGGGGGGGGGTGTTATATGCTGAGCACACGGGCCCCATTTTGGGGGCCCGACGGTTGCTGGGGCCCCCCAGGTCGCATGCCCCTCAGATGTGCGCCCTGGAGGCCCACGACCGGCCTTAGGGCCGCAGGTTTGGATTTGAGGCAGCATTTGTTTATTTATTTATTTATTTGCTGTCCTATTTTTGTCAATTCAGGCGTCATTTCGCGAGGCCCAGCGCTACTTATAGCTGGGCCACGCCTGGGCAGACACAGTTTGAGTAGCTTACTTCTTGGGCGACACACTGCTGGAGCAGTGCGACACAGCGCTGCATTAGAGGTCGAGGTGTAGGTAGAGCGAGGGAGGCGGAGGCCATACCTGCAGCGGCGGTACTTACCTGGGCGCCATAGCTGGGCTCTGCAGCAGCGATCTGCACAGGGACACCACGTGGTCAGTACATGGCCGCAGTTACCTGCAGGTGAGACAGCGAGGAGGACGACATCTTCTTCTTCTTCGTCTCGCCCTCCATCCCTTCTCCCTCCTTCCGCCTCCTTCTTCTTCTTCTTTCGGAGAGAGAGAGAGGTTCCAGGCAGAGGGTACATCACGCCGTGAGACCCAGGAACTGATTTGACATTTTGTGGTGGACATCGATTGGATCTTCGGCAGGGAGACTATTTTTGGACTTCGCTATCGCGATCTTGGTCTTCTCCCTCATCTCCATCTTCGTCTCGCATCCGTGGTATCACCCCATGTGCGTGATCAAGGAGGGACCTTTCGTCTATGTATGTGGTCCCTACTCTCTCTCTCACATGTGTGGTGTATGATGGGTGTAGTGTTGGTATCTGACAGGTCAGGTCATATCTTTCAGTCGCTACATTGTACTATTTTCATATGTATATGGATGTACATTGCTTGTTGATGTTTTGCTGACACTGCATTGTCCATTTGAGTCCTTTTCATCACTTTGCGGATCCTTGGCTCCCCATACATCGCTTGACTGAGCATGTATCACAGAGTGACATTTTGGTACTGTCCCAATTTTCCAGTGTCCCAGAGTGACATTTTGGTACTGTCCCAAAGTGACAGTTTGGACTTTGGAGGCACTCATCACTGATACAGGCATTATTACCAGGCTAATACCAGCTAGCTACTTGCCATGGTCAGCAATACGCACACAAGAAGTGCAGGCTTTTTCCATGCATGCATGAATGCAATCAACTCAAGCGCTCAAGACACGAACCTGAGAGAGCTTGACCCATGCATTGAGCACCTGCAAGGCCTTTCCTGACTGATGCACCTCGGAGGCACGAGCCACGCCTTCCCCAACATCTTTGGCGACACCACATGCCACAAGACCTACACCAGCATTCACTATCTGCACACACAAAGTACACAATTCAAATTTGGAGTGTGTTATTAAGTTATTAAGTAATATTAACTTATTAATAGTTATTGTGCATGAATCATGTTACAGGTCACTAATTGAAGTCTCTGCAAGGATCAGAGGGATTGTAATGAAATGAATGTTGAAACTTAAAAGACATATTTGGAGTAAGTTTCTTGAACTATCTGCTCTTTTCATCAACTCTCAATCTTGGTGCATCTGTAATTTCTTGGCCACATATTTGGAGTCGGGAAATACATGCTTCTCCTCTCTGGTATATATGTATATTATTTTGTTTTGCTTTATTATTATTACAAGTTGAGCCAGTGCGGCTTCGCCCGCATGAATTAGCAGCTCAGTGCATTATAGACTTAGTGACTCTCACAGAGCCTGTGCAAGTTTTGCCCCAGAACAAAGCAGGCTAGTGCATCAAGGACTTAGTCACTCTCACAGCAACAGTGTGGATTCACCCACCTGATGTAGTTAAGTGCATGACAGACTTAGTGAGTCTCACAGGGCCACATGCGCTTCACAACATGACAGAGTAAGCAACCCTTGAAATCTAAGTGCAACACAGGCGAACAGTGAATTGCAAGGAAAATGAGCTGTAGCGAAATGACAGAATTCCAGAATGCAAAATCACATTGAAAGCCAGATTTTCGACCGCTGTTCAGAAAACTGAAAGGCACTGATATTCCACCAACAGAGAACCAGAGCACCGGATTCAAATGTCAATGAGACCATACTCTTGCCACCACCAACGTATGTATCCAGAGCCCTTCCTCCTACTTGCCGCTCAGCGCCCAGACTACGATCACACATCAAGTAACCAGCCTACGGATTCACAATGCAACCTGTTGACATCAGCAGCAACAACTGAAGTACATGAAGATGTCAGCCATGTAAACCATCGCCAAGACCAGGTTACGTGCCCTTACATCGCACCCCTCATCCCATGCTCTCTCACTCACCCTCGTCTTCTTCACCCACGTCTCCACTACCACGAACACCACCACCACCTCAGCTGACCTTCTCCAAGCTGGCCCGGCTATGGGGGCCCAGCTATGGCGCTGCCCATTTGCAGCGCCCTTCTACCTCGTGACAGCACCGGCGCACATGCACCGGCGCTAGCAGCAATGCGCGAGCTTAAGCTCCAGCAGCGCTGCCGCCCGCTCTACCAAGTGCCCAAATGCCCTCTGTGTAGCCCCCACCTTTCCTAAATGGAAAGTAGCGGTTTCTCTGGCTGCCAGCTGCCTCGTGGGACCGAGTTTCCAGTAGCTGCACTCTTGGCGAAAGTGTCTGCGCCTCAGCCCATTCAGACAGTGTCCTGGGGCCAGATTGGTTAGGCATGCCCAACCACCCAGGCACAAACATGCGGTGTTCCCTGCTTGCACCATGTTGCTGGAAGAGCCTGGAAGGCTCACGAAGATTTCAGATTCTCACAAGCGAGGCAGACGTAGCCAACTGGCGCGTGGCAACTGTCTGGCGCCCACCAAGATTTGCAAATATTGACGAATTCAGGGTTCACTGAGACTCAGGGGGCCTGCCTTCACTTAGGGCGGGCACACGCCTGCTGCAGGGGCCTTATGCCAGTATGCCGAGGGATAAAACCCTCACACTCCCTCCTCCTTTACTTCGGTAGTCCTCTGAGAAGTCCTTATAGAGCAGGCTGCTTCCCTCTCAAATTTCTTTCATAACTTGAGATCATCTGTGGAGCAGTCTTTATTAACTCTTCTCTTGTGAACCACCAATCTTCTTTAGGATCCGTATGATGTCGGAACCGTACTAAATACTGCATCTGCGGTTTCGGAGGGCGTCCCCTGCCTGGAGGCTTGGGCACAGACATCGGCTTGTGCTCAACGATGTCGTCAATGTCCACGTGTCCGTCATTGATCTCCTTGAAGGAAACTGATCAGTTTCAGCGAAAGGAGCCAACTTGGACGCGTGGAAAAGAGGGTGTGTACGCAGGTGACGAGGTATTCGAATGACATATGAAGGCCAATCTCACTGATCTCCCACTGTGTCTAGTACTTCCCAGGGTCCAAAATATTGTGGCATCAGTTTTCTAGATATTCCCAGTTCCTCAGATGACTTAACCCAAACTCTATCACCTCCCTGAAATGCTGATGGTCGTCTGTGCCTATTCTCGGATGCAACCATTGCATCTTGACCTTTCTTTTTTTTTTTTTTTTTTTTTTTGGACCTTTTTTTGTTTTTTGCGTTTCATCCTTGCGCAGGGGCCATGCTACTCTTCTCTGTATCGTCCCAATTTTAACGGATGTCCCTAAGGACATCTTGACCTTTCTTTATGTGTTCCACAACCTTTTTTTTTTTTTTCCAGGCTTTGTGCAAAGCCTCTATCCCGGTAGTGGTAAGAGAACCACCGAGATTGAGGCTTTGCCTACCGGGCTGCTCCATCTATTGATGGGGAGCCTCACCTGCTGGAAACCGGGTCCAGCATCCCTTGACACAGAATCCTGAGTCCAAATGCTATCCCTGCCAGCATTGATTACCGTTGGCCTCACGGGATTAACTGAGCAGGGACGGAGGTGGCGGGGAGGGGGGCCAACGCCTTGGAGCCGGGGGGCACCGGGCCCCATGGCATTAGGGCCACCCCCCGTTATCTAGTAATGGTTAATAAGACAAATAAGACACATTGAGTGGGCCCTGCTGATGCTTGAGTACTTTGGTGGGGCTTTTGGAAGCGCTGTATGCCGAATCCAACTGTACCTTTGGTGAAACTCCGACCTTCCCCTTGCTGGTCCCTGGCCTTGCAGTTGCCTCCTTGAAAGGCATGGCGGCAGATCCGACAGATGCGAAACAACGAAAACTAACTGACTGTACGTCCCCTTCCCCTGCTTCGGTCGAACACCCAGCTGGACCCCTTATTGCAGGATTTCCACCACTGACAGCAGGTGCGGGCGGAAGGAGTCCCCAAAGTCCTGCGCCGGTTTGAGTGGGAACCCCGGATCAATGGCCGTCCACTCTAGAAACTGCAGTCTGTAGTCCTACTTCATATCCATGTGAGGATCTTCTTCCTCTGCCATACGCTGTTCCATCTGTTCGTCTTCTGACCACGTCACCTTGGCTATCCAACCCCCCCTTTTCCTGCCTAGCCATTTCTCACAGAACCGGGAGATGATCCGGTCCGCATCCCTCCTAAAGTGCACACTGTCAATTTCATTTGAACCCTCCCTCCATTTCCAGCAAACACCTCCTCCACCAAATTACCTAAAGTATGGATCTTCTTCCAAGACGGAAGGGGTTCCATGTGCATTCACCGTTCGTGAGATTCGGGCAGTGCCCCAGCAAGATCGCCCTCCCGTCCCATGGCCACGGTAAGTCTGGGAACATCACAGCCTACTGCAGCAGCTGTTCATATTTAACAGCAAACTCTATGCTGCCCGGAGCGGCAGTGGGCTGGTTCTCGGGCAGCAGAAAGTCAAAAGCAGATCTGGGCTTCCAACCAAGATGTAGCTGATTGGAAGTCATGTCGGTAGTGTTGTGCACAGCGTTGTTATACAGACTAGCGATGAGAGGTAACTTCTCATCCCAGTCATCCTGGTTCGGCTTAATATAATGTCGAAGCAAGTACTGCACTACTCGGTTCATCTGCTCAGCCTGGCCATTTGACTCAGTGTGGTTCCCTGATGTCGTTTGCAGTTGGGTTCCCATCTGCCGAGCTGTGCTCTGCCACAGTTCGCTGGTGAATCTGACGTCCCTGTCGCTAATGATGGATCTCGGGAGACCGGAGTCTCGTACCCAGTTATCCATAAACAGCTTAATTATATGGTCAGTCCTAGCTGTTTTAGGCATAGCGATCAGTCTAGCGCACTTGCTAAATCTGTCCACAATGACGAAGATGTGACGTTTACCACTCTCGCGGGTCATGAGAGTATCCATGCAGTCCATGGACACACTCTGACCAGGGTCTGTAGGGACAGGCAAGGGCTTGAGAAGCCCAAGCGGTGCCTACTTTGTCAAGCTAACAAACGTGGCATGTCTCTACATACCTCTCTGCATCTTCCATCATCGTGGGCCACCATAATTTCTGCACTAAGTTCGCAGCTGTCTTTTTAATATCCAAAATGTCCGGTTGCATCGTGACACGCACCTAAAAATAAACTGCGCAACGTCTCTCTAGACGGAATACACAAACATTTATTCCTGGCCTTCTCAAGGAACAGCAAGTCACCAACCGACACAAACTCATTTGATGTGGCCTTCTCTTTAGCCTCAAGTTTGCACATGATCTCAGTCATGACTGGGTCCTCTTGATAGGCTTCCACCAGGGATTGAGTTACATCATCTGAAATACCAAATTCTATCACTAGCGCCCCCAGTTAGCCTGCCCTTCGCGATAGTGCATCAGCGACATTGTTGTACTCTCCTTTCAGAGGATCGAGCTTGAAGTCATACATATCTACGAGTTCAATCCACCTCTTGAGTGCATCGGAGAGCACGGGCTGTGTCTTGATCCAACGCAAAGTCTCATGGTCAGAGCTCACATAGAAGAATCTGCCTAGGAGGTAATGTGTTGCATACTGTAACGTGCAGACCAGAACAAGAACCGACCTCTCAATACAAAGTACAAGATAACACAGCGGAAGACTTAGATACGAATGATCC